TGCTGCTAGGGTTGTAGTCCTCCATGTCCGGATAGCTCTAAGGGGCTCAGCGCTGTATGGAAGGACTCCCCTTCTCAGCAGGGAGCCTCCTGCTCTCTGCCTGACTTACCTGGAAAGTGCCACCAAGCACCGATGCCTGACCTTATTTGGAACATGACCTTTGGCATGTTACCTAGAGTAAAAACTACCCCCAGGTTTTTTCTATATGATAATTAGGCATTGCCCGGTAGTCGCATGATAGGAGCCTACTGCCACATGTAAATAAAGCATACTATGAGCACCTATCAGCTGAAGCATTGGCTACTGCCTCCACACTATATTTTCCCTAACATCCCACTATATAAACGGAGCTATTTCACTGAGTCAGGAGCTGTTTGCATCACTGAACCTGCCTCCCCAGAAGAGCTTTCTTCCGTCAGTGCTCACTGGCCATCCTGACCCTGTTCGTCACTTCTGCTCCCTTTGTCCTCGTGGAGCAGTGGCCAATGACCCAGGAGGAGAGGGATCAACACCACAGTTAAACAATTCTACATACCTAAAATTCATTTTTAAAAAAAGGTAAAATACAAAAATGGTTTGATTTGAAATATATTTATAATGCAAATTCTAATATAGATTTGTCTTAATCTGCAGATCTAAGAAAAAAACAAAAAACAAGTAATAGCTATCCAAGTTCTGGAATCAACCTAGGTGCCCATCAATGGTAAGCAGAAAAAGAAAATACAGTACAATTTTATTCGGCTATAAGAAAGAACAAAATCTGGGCTGGAGAGCTCAACAGCCAGTTCTAGCAGAGAACCTGGGTTCAGTTCTCAGCACCAACATGGCAGCTAACAACTATCTGTAACTCCAGTTCTAGGGGATTGAATGACCTCTTCTGGCCTCCACAAGCATTCTGTATAGATGCACTTACACACATGCAGGCAAAACACTCATACACATTAAATAGAAAGGAAAAAAAAAGGAAGGGAGGGAGGGAGGGAAAAATCATGTCAATCACAGGAAAATGAATGAACTGGAGGTGTCAAGCAAAATAAGCCAGATTCGGAAAGATAAATAAACATTTTCCTCTCATGCACAGAATCTAGATTTTAGAAAGAAAAGGGACATGGAAACAAGGAGGGTCACTATTAGGGAAGGAGAAGGGGAACACACACATGGGGAGGGACAAGAGAGGATGATAAGGGGAATGAGTATGATCAAAGTACATATTATTTGAATAGCAGATATGCAAATGTCATAAAAACCCATTTGTGCAATTAATAGGCTTTTTAAAAAGTAGTGAATAATAGAAGAGAATGTAATATAGAAGTATCATTACATCCTAATTAAAATCATCATTAGCCATGGAATGTAAAGGAATGGAACTTAAGTCATGAGTTTTGAAGAATAATAGAGGAAGAAAAAGAGTTAAATACCAACAGGGTAAGAGAAGTAGAGGAGGATGATCCAAGGGAAGGCCAGAGAAGGCTCCGGAACACTGACTGACCAAATAATGCATAATTTATAGGTCATACTCCCTTCTCTTCAGACAGTTTCCTGTAACAAATAGCTAATATTGAGTCAGTCTGCCACTTTGAATATAAAGTCTACTCAGATGCCTGCCTCCTGGAAATGAGAACTTGGAAGAGGTAAGAGCCATAGCTTCTTGGCCTCACTCCACACCTCCACTCAACAACTGCCAAAGTTTATTTAACTGTACACCCAACCACATACCTACTGCAGCTTACAGAATCTCCTTGGGCCAAAAATTCTACCCAATTGCTTTCTGATGCCTTAAATTATCCAAAAATTCTCTATTTGAGACAAAGATTCTCATTACAAAATTTGTAATAGGTCAGGAATTAGAGGCATCATATAAGCAAAAACTCATTCATAGTTGATCTTGTTCAGTTAATCAAGATTTAAAGAGTCAAAGAATAGGTTAAACTGTGGCCTCCTGAAACAGAAGACATTTCCAAAGGAGGAAAAAAAGTGAAAAAAGTAGTCTGAAGAAATACCGTGGTTCTTTTCTTTTAAGTAAAGGGCTGAGTGGCGTCAGCCTCTAGAGGTCGCACACAGGTTTATTTCATGCAGAGCTTTTTTTTTTGAACTGAAGCTGTGCCCTCTGTGGGCGGGTAGAGCCCACACAAAAATGCACACACAGAGAGAAAGAAAGAAGGAAGAGAAGGGAAGGAGGGAGGGAAGAGGGGAGGGGGGAAGGGAGGAGAGGGAGGAAGGGAGGGAGGGGAGGGAAGGAATAAAGCAGTAGTAGCTAACTTTAGAGATTCGATTCTATTAGCTCATGACATATGAGGTGGTGGCCAAATAAAATAGTGCCACAGCTTAGAGGACACACTCATTACATTTTTATTTATCTTTAAACAGCTCAAAGTAAACACTCCTACATCAACAGCAAATATCAGTACAGTGAATTTTTTAAAAAATAATTTCAGCTTTATTTCCAGTTTGACAGTTCATTGGTAAGATATTTAATCTTGATTGTCAACTTGAAGGGATTTAGAATCACTAGGGTGTTTATTAGGGTGTTTCCCTTAAAAACATGGACAGCACCATTCTAAGGGCTGGGGAACACAGAATAAATTTAAAAAAAATCAAGCTGAGAGCCAACACACATTGCATTCTGCAGCTGACAGTGCAGATGCAATGTGACCAGCTGCTTCATGCTTCTACCACCAACACACCCATTATCATGATGATATCCTCAGACTGTGAACCAAACTAAGCCTTTCCTTAATTTGTATCCATCAGGTATTTTGTCATAACAATGATAAAAGTATTCATAGCTAATACAACTATATAAAGAGGCAGGAGGATTGCAGTAAGTTTGTGGCCATCCTGGGTTACATAGTGCATACCAGCCAAGGAGGTGTACATAGCAAGAGTATCTCAAAAAACAAGTAAGGGGCACAGCATTAATCCCAGAACTCAGGAGGCAGAGCCAACCTGGTCTATATATAGCAAGTAGCAAGTTCCATCCAGCTGGGGCTACAGGAAGACTCTGTCTCAAAACACCAAAAAAAAAAAAAATAGAATTTAATTTCAAGCACAATCTTACCTGACCTATGTGGTAACTTTAGAACAAAAGGCTTCATATCTACTACAAAGTGATCAAATTCGGCATCCAGCTTCTCCCATTTTTCTTCTTCACTTCCTACTTCCATAATCCTATCTGTGAAAGAGTTAAAATTAAATATTAAATAAGTATATGTATGCTGAAAGCTACAAAACTGTGAAGACATTAAAGAAAATATAAACTAAATACCAAGTCTCTCTAAACTGACCTCTATAGTCAATGCAATTCCAATCACAATATACAAATTCTGTACCTCATAAACAACTTATAACAAGGGTACATGAGGGGGCTGGGGATGTGTGTAGATCCTTGACACAGTACTATGTACAGCCCTAGATTCAACTTCGACCACAGAAAAAAATAATAATAAGGAAAATATGAGTAACTCTCAACACTGATATAAGAAAATAATCCAATAAAAATAGCAAAAATCAATCCTTTTGACAACAATTAACTGTATATTTTAAATAGCTAGTAGAGACTATTTTGAAATTTCCAAAACAAAGAAATTATGAGTATCTGAAGTGATGGTTATACCAACATGTACAACTTCTTTAAGTCAGTTAAGTTATATTTTAAAATATCAACCCCTTTACCAAAGAAGAAATAGAAATAATGGCAAGTAAACACATACAAAGATGTTCAACATTATTTGTCACTAAATGAAAACTAAAATCATAATGCAACATCCCTACAACACACGAGGAAAACCAAAGTTAAGGCAAACAACGCAAAGTGCTGGTGAGGACGAAAAACACAAAAACTCTCATGTGCTTCTGGCAGGAATGTGAAATGACACAGGCAATCTGGAGTTTGGCAGCTTCTTTCAAAGGTAATCATACACTCACCATATGACAGAAAAATCCCAAGTAAAATGGAAAACCTATATTCATACAAAAATGCAAATGGAATGTTTATAGTAGCTTATTTAAAAATCGACAGACTGGGGAAAGAGCCCACAAACTGTAATGTAATCACACACAATCACACACTGTACTCAGCAATAAAAAAAGGAATGAAGCCAGGCGTGGTGGCACATGCCCATAGTCCCAGCACTTGGGAGGCAGGCAGATCTCTGTAAATTCAAGGTCAGCCTGGTCTACATAGTGAGTTCCAGGACAGCTGGGGCTACAGGGAGACCCTGTCTAAAAAAAAAAAAAAAAAAAAAAAAGGAATGAATATTGATACACAAAACAACAATACAGATACACAATATATTACACTAAGTGAATGAAGTCATTTTCAAAGGGTACATATGCTAATTCAATTTATATGGGAGTCCTAGAAAAGGGAAACAATTCAGCACAGAGAACAAGCATTCACAGAGGTCATCAGTGGGGAAGATTCTGAATAGAGAGGAATGGCACTAGAACACTATTGAGAGGATTTAATTGTTCTGTACATTACCTGTAGAAGAGGTTGAAAAATCTGTACATATATATAAATTCATTTAACTGTACACCAAAAAATCAACTTACTATATATAATTTTAAATTTTTGTAATTCCCTTTAATTTTCAAAGTATTAGTCTCCATATTTCTTACAATTAACATTTTTTATTATTTCTACTTTTTTAATTATTTATTTA